TTGTATTTTTCCCAAAAAAGCAAAGCAGAGAAACCCGCCCTTTGCAAGGTAAAAGATATAGTGTATGAAAACTGATGTAGCTATTTATAGGTCTACATTCTTAAAATTTCAGTTAAAATTTCCCATTGAGAACCAAAACTGCAAAAAATTTGATGGAGGGTGTCAAGATCAGACTGCTAACTTGGAAATTTCAGTTTAAGTAACTACTTTAAGGAAGGAAGGAATGAACTAGTAATGGCCAGTATTTCATGTGTTTACTTGCCACAACGTTATAGGGTAAGGAGTTAGATGGTAGCTTATACTACAGAGTGCATTTAAGCAGGAGTTGATATTCATATGAGAACAGAGCTGTACTATTATCAGCAGAAATATTATTTAGATTTATAAAACACTGCTGCTTTTCAAATTTGAAGGAAATAAACAAAGATAGAGAAACATACGTTGCAGTGAGGCAGTGGACCGTCTCACTCATAGAAATAGCAGCCTATTGTAAAAGCCACAGTAATAGTTTCTAGTAAAAATATTTTTAGTACTAATACTAAGCAATTCCTGCCTCCACTTCTCAGTCCTGCCCTTATAGTTCAGTGTTCCCTTAGATGTTCCTCAAGTTCTGCCTGGGGATCCAGGAACCAGATCAGCAAACTGGTTTCCATGAAAAGAGTACTTCAAAAAAACAGATCATTCTTACCATGAATTAGGTCAGTCCTGGGTTCAGCTGTAATGGTTATTTTATTCCTTCCTAGTAGATGGTGCAGTGCTGTTTATAAACTGGCAGGAGCTACCCAGAAGGGCCAGATCGCTGCTCGAGTCGGACTGGGTATCAGTCAGCGGACGGTGAGCAATTCCATTATGCATCACTTAGGTTTATTGTTTTCTTTTTTTTCCCCTTCCTTTTTTAGTTTTGTATCTCCCCCTGTTATTTTCCTTGTCATTATTATTACTATTAGTAGTTTTACATTATACTTTAATTATTGGCTTGTTCTGATCTCAACCCGTGGGGTTTACATTCTTTTGGTTCTCCTCTCCATCCCACCTGGAGCAGGGTGGGGAAGAAACGGAGCAGTGAGCAAGCAGCTGAGTGGTTCTGAGTTACTGGCTGCGCTTAAACCAAGACAGTCCTTTTCACAACACGGCCCCAGAAGGACCCAGGCTCAAAAAAATGAAGGGACATGTACTGAAGTATGGGAGTGAAAGTCAGGAAAGTGAGGGAGGGCATAAGTACCTTAGGTCAGTACACATTTATAAACTATGCCTTCCAATAATGAAGGCTCAAAATGTAAGTAATTCTAATATTGTGCTCCTTTAGCCAAGGACCTGACGCTAATTATCGATTGTCACTGAATCAACGAACCTGAAGTTCTGTTTCACTTTATTCCACAAAAAGGGCCTTGTTCTCTCATGAAGACTGAAACACATTTCCAGCACTGTCCTGAGAATGGTGCTGATTATGACTAAGCTGACATAGAAGATAACCTCCTGCCTTCCACTGCAAGAGAAGGGATGGTGAGATGCACCAGGTCAGCTTTAGTCAGAGGGAGGCATCTTGTCGTATATAGTTAACCTACTGCCAAAGTTAATACACACTGCCAGAATATTTCCAAACACTGCATTAAAGAGAGCAAGATTTTAATCTGAAATGTGTCTTTGAGAACCATGAAATACTGAGTAGCTTCATGGACACTGTAATTCAAATCTGAAGCCTGTAAAATAGCAGGAAACCATACATCATGACGAGATGGAGCGTAGGATTACACAACACACAGCTACAAAACTAACATTAAATACTGGGGCAGAGGTACACACAAATGAGATGTCCTCATACCTTGAACCACTTAAAGCCAAAATGGTTGACCTCATGCACTGATTCATTAAACAGCTTCAGACAGGCAGTGAAGTGGCAGAATGGTAGAAAACAAGATAAATAGAAGAGAGGAAAGAAAAAGCATGCAATTAAAAGCAAATTATAATGCATTTGGACAACACTGACATTTTAAAAATCACACATATCACTCATACTTGGTCTAGGAATGTTCCTAACCTATAGTTTGTTTATAAAAACAAAAGAATTTGCCATTAATATCATATGTAAAACAGAACTCTGCGTTTTAAAACTGAAGCTATCTAAGGGTGTCTGTTACAACTCTACAAAGAACCACCACAGAACATGATAAAACAAAGAGGGCATTCTTTTAAAGTAATTGAAGGAATATGAACTGAAAACCAGCTGAAGAAAAGCCTCTTCCTCACCTTGGAAAAAAAAAGCTACTTGCCAGCACTTTATTACTTAACTGTATTTAACTGATAGCAAAACAAAATCCCGAAGGACAAATGGGGCACAGCAGCTCTCCTGGTGCAGGCTGGAACAAGACACTCCAGTTGCTTTTCCTTTGTGCTGTCTTATCGATCATATTTTAAAAACTAACTGGTCAGAGCTGGCGGTTTAGTTCTCCTGCTGGAGTAAGACACTGCTGTCAATCAGTAAAGGTACAGATGCTGACTTTTCCCTCTTCCAATACTGCTACTTTCAATCCATCGTTCTTTTTCCCCATTCCTTCTGTACTGCAACATCCAAATTGTTACGTTGTGCTTTTTTTTTTTTTCCCACAATGCTGTTGCCTATCATATTCCACCAATCTTTTCCCACAGATCTTACTCATCTTGGATCTCTTCCTCTCCTCTCAATCTCTCTCACTGATGCTTATGGCTTATTGAGCATCAGACTCCACATTTCTTTGCCTTGCCTCATCTTTCAGATTGTACACCCGATCTGAACTCTCCGTTCACCAGGTATTTCCCTTTCCACCAAGCTCTGACCATTTGACCTCACTGTGTGCCTCTTATCAGGCTTTGATGGTGAATTCTTTTGAAAAGTCTCCTTACTGCCAAACTTGAAATTTGTGCATATTCCCAAAGCATTATTCTCTTCCCATATTCTTGTTTTAGGATACCTCATGTATAAATAAAGCTTCACTTTTGTAACAACAGTTCGCTATTTTACTAACCCAGACTTATTTATTCTATCCATATTAAACCTGCTGCTAACAGCTCACACTGGAGACATCTATGAGGAGCTCATGCTCAAGATGCTAAAAAAGAGATCTCCTTTTGCATCCTGTGACTGAATCTTCCTTACTACTTCATTTTTTTTTTCCATCTAGGACAGAACTTGCATATTTTTGTTAAACTTGATAGTATCTTTGACTCAAACTTCTTTAAAATTTATTTTTTAAGTCCTGCAGAATTTCTTTTATGGAACATCTCAAATATAAGACTTTTTTGACTACATCTGTATTACTGAAGTTCTTCGGTAGCATTTCTTCTGTGTTTGGACCTAAGCAAAAATCATTCTTGTGCAGGTTGTGCTCATTTGTGAAGTAATCTCCTTGTCTGTAGCTTTGATCATGTTAATGCTACAAGCATACCTCTTTCCTAGTGAATCAAATGTAAGCAACCCATCCTTTGAAAACTGTACTCCAACCCCTTTTCACTTTTAATGCTGAGACGACCTGTGACCATCCTCTAGTAAAGGCCCACATTATGTGTGCATAGAATTTGTAGATGTTCATCTTTGTGCTTAGTTCTCTAACTTCAGATACTTCTAACCTCTACAAAATTAATACACTCTACCTTCTTTAAAACTTTCCCCTCAAAAATTCACGAAGCCATATTCATCTTGTTCTGCATTTTTAGCACAGACTCCAAAGAGTGAGTTTTATATGCTTCTAGGTGCTCAAAGAATATAGAAATGGCCACTTTGTCTTGTAACAAAGAAATTTAAACATTATGACATCCTAGGCACCAAATCACATACTATGTTGTTTATTTTTGCATCTCAGCATAGAACCTTCTCCCTTGGGAGCTATGTATTTTCCTTTCAAGGAGATCTAATCTTTGATGTGTTATTTACTACCTAGTTAACTTTTCTGTTTCATGCAATTTTTTTAAAGGCTACAAGAACATTGGAAAAAAGGCATTCTTGAAAGTGAATTCCATAACACTGTCTAGGATCTCAGGGTACAGCAATCAGGGTTATTCTCAGAATGACTATCAGTGAACACCTGAGCCTGACTCTACTCTAAAAAGAAACAGTTGCTTTCTTCTTCCTGAAACTTGGATTATTACTAACACATTTATATCCTCTTTTTCATCGAAGTCTGTGATATAAGAATATATGTTGGAAAAACCCTCTTAAAATAGTTTAAAGTGCACTTAGTCAGAACTTCTTTTATTTAAATAACAAAGAGAAGATCACGCCATTGCAATGCAACTGCAACCGACCAAATGCTCCTGTTTGTTAATTATGGTCAAGTAAGGAAGAGTGAAAGATACTGAACAGGCTCACAAAAAGCACAGTAAGAATGCTAGGTTCAGCTTCTCCTTTAAAAATTTTATCAAATTCTCATGGAGTTTTATTCACTACTTACGGTATGTTTTCTCAATGATTACTTACGTGAGTTAAAATCAGATTCTTCAGAGCATCTTTTCAGTGGGACAGAATCAGTTAATGCATAGAAGTTTATACGTGTGGCTTCAGCACACAAATATGTATTTCTGTGTGTATGCTTGGCTCAGGCTAAGGGATTTGTCTCTTTATCCAGTTGTTTTGCAAGTGCAATGAGACCATGGTTCACAAACTCAACTATGCTAATAAAAATCGTCTTAAAGCACTTTCAATGACCAACACAGTGAACCTACGTATGGTTACACATAGGAAGATAGCTTTTACAGGCAAGGCAGATCAGAAGAGTTACTACTTAAAATAGTATTTTAAATCTCAGGATACCTTATATTTCTTTTTAACTTCAAGAAAATATTACCTATGAAATACAACTTATCATGAAGGCTTTGCAGACTTTTTGAGTTGTTACCTAATGTTGGAACAGTGATACAGGATCATCAAACAAAACCATCTGTGTTTCATGGTAGAGTAGGGAAAATAGTACTTTACTGTCTGGTTACTTTCCTAAGAAGACTACCAGTGACTTTATAAGATTGCAGACCTGTTTCTCAGCATTCATCCTGGCTGACTCCTCTTGTGCTAGCACCATTTCCCGCTCTGCAGTTATCTGAACACTTTCTCTGAGTGCCTCTTCCAATTCTTCAATCCGATCATCCTTTTTACGTAGATTGTCCTGGAAAATGACGGGAGACGAGGTGAAGATGGCTTGTTTGGAATTACAGCCTTTTAATCAACCATGTTTTATGCCAACCAGAATGTGTTTCTCCCTCCCAAGGTGCAACGGCAGGCGAATTATCTTCGCAGAGAGGAGAGAAAGATGAAGTGATGCAAGAGTAGGAGGAAGATTACAGCAAAGAGAAGAAGCAAGCTAGCAAAGCAGGACCTGAAAGAAAGAGTGCTTGCCCTCCATGTTGGATATACCAGAATCCTTTCAGATTGTACAGCATAGAGTTATTGGTAAATAAAAATTAGTAAGCAGTTCCAAAGAAGCACAGAAGCCAGGATTCATGGGAACATAGCAGGCATTGCCCATTTGCTCACACATTCACAAGCAGGTGTGGTAAGAAGGCAAACATTTCACTGCAGTTTGGAATTTGCCATTTCCAAGTTAAGGGGAAGAAAAGTAAACATTAACTCAACAGTTTTCCATTGTTCGGATTAAGTCTTTAAGGAAGTTTTAAATCAAAAATTCTCTAGGAATTAGGAAGGATTCATCTGGACTGTCTGAATCTCAGACATTCATGTACCAAGGCTACCTTAAAATCTATTATTTGATTAAGAGCATCTTCACAATTGCAAGTTCAGATGTCCCACATATATTCAGAGACCATGGAAGAAAACTCTGTTGCTCCTCAGAAACGTACTGTTTTACTGGTTTATGTAACAGTGTAACTTAGAAAAAATGTATACAAAACTAATGATATTGTTATTTGTAAAGAAGACCCTCCTTACTTTAATACTGCTAGGAAAATAAATGTGTATCTCCTGCTTCTGTTGTAACAGCTTGGACAAAAGACTGCAAAGCAGGCTGCCCTGACATGTATGTATGAATTGTCTTGGACCAATGGCTACTTAACAAATCTATCAAAAATGAGCAGCTTGATGGAAGACTTCTGCATTTCTTGACTTGCAGATTGGCTTAGATCATAGGATTCAGATGAGATATTAATGCATGTTCATGTTACCAGATGGGCTTTTTAGCCATCTCAGCAGTAGGGGAAGAATAAAAAATGTTTTTCTTTGTTTCTTGCATTTTGCTTTTTGTCAGATTTACCTCTTTGTCTTCTGACCTTTTGTATTTAGGATTGAAATTTTCCACTGTTTCTCTGAAAGTGTTTCACACAATATAAAGAATAAGGAAATATATAATCCATATAAAGAATAAGGAAAAAGATGACTGACTTGGAAAAAAATCTGACTTTGCAATCTTCATAACGCAAGAATTAGTCACTGGAGTTTAAAGGACGAGCTTGACTTACTCCTTAGTTCCTGCTTTCAAGAACTTAGGATGTATCACCAAGGACGCCTGTTATAGGAACACCATTTCTGGCAGTCTTAAAACTGCCACGTTCAATGACAGTGCTCCAGCAGAGATGCAAAGCTTTATATCAGACCAGTGAAAGACCTCTGGCGTCACTGCCTCTATGCAAAGAAAGGCTGGTATTCAACCACTAGCACAGGTGACAGTATTTGTTAGGCTTTGCAGGCATGCTGATGTTTACTTTCCAAAATGGATTCACAGGGCAAGTAATTGCTGATTTCTAAAGAAACAAACCGAGATATACATTTCTAAAACAGGAGTTGCAGAGCATGTTTTAATACTATTTGAATCTTCCTGGAACACTGAGAATATCTTCCACAACTACTTTATGGTTATGATTAGCTTAACTGAAGATTCATACAAAAGATGAACAACAACTTTACAGAAAACCTCAGAATATTAACTGTTGCCAGACATGAATAGTATTTACTTGCTTATCTGCATTACACAATAAATATCAATTGTGCTTCTTTGATATATTATTAACAGATTGCCAAGTGTGGAAGCGTAGCCCTCTACTTCAAACAACAGAATTAGGAATGCTTCATTTGAACAGTTACATATAAAATGGAAAGTGATTTAAAATAAGATTGCAGAATAAAACATTCTAACACTTAAGGTAAGAGGTGAATTTGATATTGTATTAATACCATATAGCGCTCAATTCAGACACGTGAACTCTTGAAGGACAGGAATAAGAGCAATTGGTGATACCAAAACTGATCAAGACAGTGACATATAAAACGCACTTGAAAAAAAAAAAAATCTATATTCATCTAGAATTACTTTTCCTAAAATAATAGATGAACTTAAACATAAATGGTAGATGGTTGCAAGTTAAAATACTCCAGTGTTGACTACAACCAGCTACCTAGAAACAAAGATCTTTTATCTTCAGCCTAATACTAACGACCCACCCAGTAAGGAGAGATCAGTTACAAGTTTTCACTTTGTCTCAGACAAACGTAGTTAAAAGATGCACGTGCAAGTTTACTCTTGTAAAGGTGTCACCTTACAAAAGCATATCGATGCCTGTCCAGAGTAGGAGACAGTTGCATGGCCAGGTAGCACCTCCAATGGTGCAGAAGAGTTTCAAGGCTATTCTTTTAAATAATTGCTTTGTTTCCAGCTTTTTGATTCATGACTAATTGATTAGCATGTGAATTGTTCTTCTTTAAAATACAAACTGCTGTTTCAATCAAAACATACTAATTAGAAAGAAACTAAATAAAAGTGAACCAGCATTTGCCTTTTAACATTCGAGCATGTTTTTTGAGTTGTTTGGCTCTAACTCTCAAAACATGTCAGACTCACACTGACCTTCAACCCATGCTGCTGCTTTCCTCTTTTTAGTTACATGAAGCGTTCTACCTTTATTGTGATAAATAAGCTTCAAACTCTGGAGAAAAACTTCTGTTAATTGTAACTACAGTTGTGACTGCTTTTTTTTTCCTGTAGTGACTGATCCTCTGAAGCAGTGGACTAGAGTACAACTTGAGTTGCTTCATATATATATACATATATGTATGTATGTCTCTCTATCTATCTAGCTAGCTAGCTAGCTATCCATCCATCCATCCATCCATCCATCCATCCATCCATCTCAATCAGAATGTGACACTGAGGGCAAATTTGTCTTCCTGTATTTTCATAAAATTGTAGAATGATAAGCACTGGCAGTCTCCTTTCATGAAGCTTATACAGAGGACTGTTCAGAAGGAAAATAAATATTACTTACCTGTACAGTAACTGGATTCTTCAAGATGTATTACCTAACCAAGTATCTCCGTGACCCTTCCTTCCTCTCCTCCCAAGTCCAATATGCATGAGATTGCACAGCAGAGATGGAATTAAACTGGGATAGAGGAGACAGCCCTGCCTTTATGCTCACTGGTGGCAGCACAAAGAAAATGAAAACCCCATCTGACAGTGCAGGAGTGCCAAGAGTTCAGGAGCAATCAAAATTTTTGCTACCTATCCTATGACCCCATAGCTGTTTCGTATGCAGAACTCATTCCAATACATGTCTGTCTGACAGCCTGAAAGGAATAGGAGGTGTGACTGACACACACTTCTGGTCTTTTTCTTTCACTTCAGGAAGGAAGTGGTAGGATGTCCAAGTGATACATGTTAAAAGGATGCATCAATTTAATCTGTTCTGCATTCATGTGATGTGTAATCTGTCATGAAGTTTTATGGAAGTGCACGAAAGAGGATATATGTTTTCACCGAGGCGTTTAGGTTCAATTAAATCTGAGGTATCCTGGCAAACTTCTTCGTAACTGTGTCTTGAACTAGACTCAGAAAGGTTTTTAAGGCCTAACTGCACTCTTTGAAATGGAATTAAGGTAGATTTCTTTAGTTAACTCTTGGGAAAGATTAGTAACAGTTTGAGAAAGCAGTGAAATGCTTAACTGCTAAAAATATTTCTAGGACTAGCCAATCACGTAGGTAGGGAAAGATCATTTTCATATAACCCTGTAATTAATGCACTAGCACATTTTACCTGGGTGCTTTCATAAACCAGAAAGGAAGAACACAGTACTAGAAGCATTTCAAACTAGGAATAAATTATTTCTTAAACACTGACATCATTACAAGCGCTTATTCCTATGAATTACTGCCCTTCATTATCATGTATTTCCTCAAAAAGCCACAACCCAGATGAAAACCCCAATGATAATGATCTCAGTCCATTCTAGATGGAATAAAACTCTTCCTTCAAAGAAAAATCCTGCTTTGTGAACTGACCTTCCACTAAGTAAGTGGAACCTGGGAACTCAGGACTGTCAGCTGCCTCAGGTACTACTTAAAGCTTCCTCCTGGATACCAACTGTCATTTAGTTATTGATACAACAAATTCTTCACCAATATTTGGAGGCAGGCCATCTACAAATGTTAGGAATTTTCCAGTTAAAAAACACAAGGACCTGATCTCTACAAATCTCTGCAACTCTAAAGTGCATGCTGGCTGATTAATAGGAAAAATTTAAATCTTACCAAGTTTCTCCCATAAAGTTCCCTGGCTTCCTGTCTTTGCCCATAACCAGTAGGGGCATCACATGTGAAAAAGGAAAAATAGGTTCTACCGTAGTCAGCTCATTACTGAGGACTTCTGGCTTGTCATCTTAGGAGTCTACCAAAAGATGCCAAAACACTCTCACTAAATTATGGAAGGTGGGTTTCTGCAGTGCTGGTTAAACTACTGCATTGAAGAACCCAGAAGGAAAGATGCTATACCAAAATGAGAAGGCTACTCTTCAGAAGATGGCAATTGATGAAAATAAATGGTTTTGTTAACTAATCTCTGCTTTTCTCTGAAAAACACTTGCAAAAACCTGCAGACCTTTTTAAAAGGGTCTTTAAGACCTTTAAGAGAATATACAATGTGAAGGTACTAAAAATTACAGTTTCATTTGATTTCAGAAGCAATCTTAGGCCCTTAAATCTTAGGTGAGGCTTCTTCATTCAGCTCCATCAACTACTTGCAAAAGGCTCTGTACAAGAACATGCAAAACTGGTACTTGTAAATACCTCTTACACAGATGAGACAATACTTCAACTTGATGGGTTTTCAAGAGTATACATTGGGTAAATGTAGGCCATGGTACGTAACTTGAATGGTAGTTATC